ATCAAAATCTAATATGAAATGAAGATTATGCAATGAATTTAATGAGACTTTACAACACATTGTCATTAGATACCCAGCTTTGGCACAAACAAGGTATCTTAAGCGATATGATGGCGAAGCTCGATCTTTTTATTACCGTCTTCTCCATGCTTGTGGTTATGACACAGAGGTCCATCCATGGTACGACCCAGAATATGTAGAGGGCGTCATGAAAAATGATAAACATAAACTTCTTTGGAATAGGCGCGTATACAGCCTCAGACCTCTCTAGGCCAACAAATCTGATCTTATCTTTTTACATTAGTCCAATGAAATAATATTATGTCACTGAACTGAATTTTCTGTCCCTTTTGAAACTAATGTGATTGACAAGATTGAGGAAAAACATGGCAAATATGCAGACATCGCTTTCGAAATGTCACGCTTGTATCCCAAGTACCAAGTGTCCGACTCCCCATTCTTTTCGGTGCCTTAGGTTTGGTACCTCCCAATCTGTTGACAGACATTGGGAGAGTGCCCGGGTTTACTGCCAGGAATACAGCCTGACAGACAACCTGGGTATTGCAGAAGGCTAGAGTGAGTGAGTTGGGTTAAGCACCGCTGTTAACATTATTCCAGTTATATCACGGCGTGTCAGCTTAATGTGTGAGGAAAGCCCGAAGTTATGCAGGTCTCAGACGTTTTCAACTTCGGTGAAACGCACGAGCAGGGGTATGGTGCTGACAAACCTAGAAACATAATCAGGGCGGACCGGGATTCGAACCCACAATCATAGGTTTCTGGCGTGCCCAAGGGACGCAACTCTGCACAGCGAATCGCGGCGCCTTAGACGACTGGGCCATCCGTGCCGCCGCAGAAGGCTAGAGTGTTTGTGAAAGAGTTCTCGGTGGGTTCGACCAGGCAGCACTTCCTGGGAGAAGTCCCATTCGCTGTCAGGGCTGCGTGTAGGTGTGTGTGTGTGTGTGTGGTGTGTGTGTGTGTGTGTGTGTGTGTGTGTGTGTGTGTGTGCGGGGGGGGGGGGGGGGGGGGGGGGGGATCCCCCGACCCTCTTTGCTGCATTTATTTACTCTAATCTCTAAAATAAAAAGAATAAGTTGTGAGTTGTGACCTGTATCTTAATATTGTGCAATGAAATCAGACAAAATGATTTTAATCATTTGGACACCTTGACATACATTTGCATACATATAAAATAAACCTTTCTATAATATAATAGCGAGTACCCAATAGCTTCAACAAAATAACTATTTCGATACTGAGGAAATGACGGAAGTGGCCACAGCCTGATAATAAATGTGTCATCGTTAATCAATATGTTATCGGTTCCAGGGAATCTTGTTTTCCAAGAAATGGTATTGTTAGTTTTCGTTGTTGATCAATACATTACGCAAATCTGCTCGTACGGGTCTCAATGCATAATGCATCGATAGTAGCTTCATTATCTGGTGCCTTTCTGACAGTTTGTATGCATGAATATCTGTCACTATTACGACGTAAATTGTAATAAAAAGGTAAATTGTAATACTTGCAGCAAATTGTAATAATTTTGACGTAAATTGGAATAACAACGTAAATTGTAATAATATATGACGCAAATTGTAATACGCAAATCGTAATAAAAATTGACGTAAATTGTAATAATATTTACTTGCGGTAAAATGTAATAAATTCTTACGTAAATTGTAATAACCTTATAAATTAAGTGTCTAAGACGCCAATTGACTAGAAATGATCTTTGTCAGTTGAGCTTGCGTTTCACATGTACAATTCGATAAATACTGTGTATGATGACAAACGTACAAAACTGTTAAGTTAGGGATGGTTGATATAGGCTTCATCGTACAATCGTCATTAAAGGGTGGTGTCAACATCGATAAATTTAAATGACTGAAAGATCCATCCTCGGGTTCATAATGATGGGTTACAGAACCGTATATTCGACAAATAACTTAATTGTGACATATTGTTCAATACTCTTATAAGGCTATTCAAGATGTTTTTTGCATGACTTGCTTCAACAGTACGTTGACCAGTTCGACACGACTGAACGAGATGACGAAGGGTACAAACACAGGCTGGTCAACCAGTGTGTCGATTTGCAGTGGAAACGCTATACGAGTTGATAAGGAGTACATGATCCTTTTCTTGAAACAAACGAGGGAATTTAATCATATTTATAAAATTCATTTTATTTTGACGAAGAATTCAAATACAACAAATGAGTTGACAGATCCCGTGCATACACAAATAACATCCGGTATCTTCGGATAACTCTTGTACAGTTTCAAAGAGTATACGAATTATCATAAATTTCTTGCAATCAATTGCTGAAATATATCTGCTTGTATCCAAATAGAAAGAAATTGAAAATGTATAATGAAAATATGTTTGTCACTGAAGTAAATTTTCTCTTTGACCTTGAAACGTACTTGAAGATCATTAAACTCGACAATCGTTTGTGGATTGCACCAAGAAACCTTGATACGAAATATATACGTACAATAATCCCCTGAAAACATAACTTCATCTGAACGATTAAGAGGATTAAAGTAATTTGGGCTAACATCAAGCACTGTAATAACATACTCTCTTAAAATTGCAATGAAATGACTGGTGACTTACCAAAAAGTCAAATTATATTTTGATCCGATTTTTTTAACCTAGTTCTAATTGCCTCTTAAACCCCTGAGATTATCCTCTGAGGTAATTTTTGTCCGTATATATGTCACAAATTAGTGATAACTTATGAAAAACGTAATTATCTGTTTCGAAATTTATGTACCGCATTATACGTGAGGTGCCAAATTTGGTATCAAGGTTGCTTGGCGCAATCCACCAACGATTGCCGAGTTTAATGATCTTAGAATACTCTTCGTATAAGGTCAAAGAGAATATTTACGTTAGTGACAAAACACTTTTCATTATAGATTTTCCATCCTTTCAATTTTGATCAAAACAGATATATTTCAGCAATAATTGATTGCAACAAATGTATTATACATTCTGATGCTCTCTGAAACTCAAGAAGACATGCCCGAGGATACCGGATATTATTTGTGTATGCTTTGAATTATGATTTCGTGCCGTTATCATGATGGATTCTGTTTTTGTTGTTGGGGCAAGGAGTTATCATCCCAGCGAAAATAGTTGTCAGTAAGTTGTTGTTAGTTCTTCTTGACATATGTAAGGAATCCAGACAGTTACATTTATTCATTTATTTCATTAAATATACTTCTTCCTATGAAAGGAAATATTTATGTTATATTAATGATCCATATGTTAATCATACATTGCTTCAAATATTGCATAAGTTAACATGGTTTGCATTATTTATTATTAATTATTTATCTGTGAGAAGTTCACAGAGATCGAGAATACACAACATCTAATAGTATATGCAATGTAGGTAAAGAATATCCACGCCCCTCTTTTGATATTAATAAAAACATTGTATATAATGTTATGCATTAAGTATTCTCCTTTCCCATGCTTGGGAAATCTATGCTGCATTTGCTGACGACTGGTTTTTTTCCTTTGCCATTGCACAGGAGATCTGTCACTCATTTGTTTTATTTGAGTTCTACGTCAAAATATAATGTATAAATACGATTGAATTGTCTCGTTTGTTTCAAGGAAACGGTCATGTGCTCCTTATCAAATTAAGTAAACCTCCAATGCAAATCGACATAATTTCAGGGTCCGGTTGCACAGAGCTCTCTTCGGTAACTCGTAACTCAATGTTATTGCAATGGACTCCTAGCTAAGCTACTATTGGATGATAAATCAATTAACCTATTTGTCGAATAGACGTACCTAATGTAATCCATCATTTTTAACCCGAGGATGGATCTTCGAGTCATAAATTTCGATGTGTACAGTTAGAGTATCATTCTAACAATCTAAGCTGCACGTAAAATAATTGATAGAGGTAGTTTTTGCGGGTTCACATACCTACATGTACATCGTCCAGGACATTGTCATTATTTGCTTTACATCATCCGAGCAACGTTAAAAAAAAATGAAACTTGAATAATAATAAATTGATATAATGTATATGAACATGTATATATCAGCTTGCTCACAGACTACTGCAGAATGACATGTCATCCATTTGGTAGTTTAGTTTAGGTTAAACATATTTTATTCACAGAACAAAATGAGAATTGTATTGGGGACAAGTTCTTGCAACTTAGTAAACCCCTCTCCGCATAAAATATGTACAAATATACAGTTGCAAAATAAATAAATTTGCTTCAGTCAGTAAAAGTCAGACTTTCCACATTTACACATCAATATATTTGTGAAAGTTTGTTACGTTATAATTATTCCATTGTGTATATTACTACCTACTTTACCAATTGAAATATGATTCCATTAGGTTAAATATGAACAATTATGATGAAAATCGTCAATAGGATATATTAAATTAAGTACAAAACACACAGAGTATTTCTCAAATAAATAAGAAAACTAAGTTCATTCTAGTAAGTAATCCTCTTCTGGACAACCATAGAAATGAAATTCCAATGCGTTTATATATACATATAATTAAACAACAATGTACGATAACGACCTCAATCCTCCCCAACACCCATACTTTCATGACGATTGTACGATCAACCCTGTACCAACCCTGACAAGGATAGGTTCTAGTCATTTAACGCCTTTGACACTAAACTTATAAGGTTATTACAATTTACGTAAAAAGTTATTACATTTTACCGCAAGTGGAGATTATTACAATTTACGTCAATTTTTATTACAATTTGCGTATTACAATTTACGTCAAATTTTATTACAATTTACGTTGTTACTACAATTTACGTCAAAATTATTACAATTTGCTGCAAGTATTCCAATTAACCTTTTTATTACAATTTACGTCGTAACAGTCAGTGTGACAATAATGTCACGTCTTTGATCGTGTTTGTGACCCCGTGAAACTAATCTACCTAAATTCCCACGGTATCGCTCAATGGATAGACCGTCTCCGTGGTGAAATGGATAAAGCGTATGCCCGGAGAGCGTAAGGTCGGTGGTTCGATCACTTGGTCGAGTCATACCTAATGACGTTTAGAGACGGTATGAAGACACAGACACACAGACACAGACAAAGACACAGACAGACTCACACGTGCATGCACGTCGCTATATAAGTGCAATAATCTTGAACGCGGCTTTAAAACCACATTTCACATAACCCCACATCACACTGGAGATGGTTGTTCATCAGTACTGGGATTATATCAATTCCAAAATGCACAAAGATGTCAGTAGTACGCAAATTTGTTTAAGTATTTATTTGAGCAGCCACTTAATTTGATTGGTCCTGGAAGAATACCGTGTCGTTCAAGCAGTTACATCGCGGCGTGTCAGCTTGATGTGGGAGGACCGCTAGAAATGATGCGGGTCTTGGAGGTTTACGATGGACCAATGATGCGGTGCTGACAAACCTAGAAATTTAATCAGGGGGAGTAGTATATAGTGCACTTATGCCCGTTTTTTAATTGCAGCCCTCTCATTGGCTGATTTCTGCCCGTCATATATTGCAGCCCTCTCATTGGCTGATTTCTACCCGCAGGGTCCCCCTCCCCCACCCCCCCAACCCAGAGTAATGACGTCATATATTTCTGTCCTCTCATTGGCTGATTTCTACCCGCAGGGTCACCTCCCCCACCCAGGGGTCCCACCCCACTCCAGCACTCCAGGGGTCCAACCCCACCACCCAGGGGTCCTACCCCACTCCAGCACTCCAGGGGTCCAACCCCACCACCCAGGGGTCCCACCCCACTCCAGCACTCCAGGGGTCCAACCCCACCACCCAGGGGTCCCACCCCACTCCAGCACTCCAGGGGTCCAACCCCACCACCCAGGGGTCCCACCCCACTCCAGCACTCCAGGGGTCCAACCCCACCACCCAGGGGTCCTACCCCACTCCAGCACTCCAGGGGTCCAACCCCACCACCCAGGGGTCCTACCCCACTCCAGCACTCCAGGGGTCCAACCCCACCACCCAGGGGTCCCACCCCACTCCAGCACTCCAGGGGTCCAACCCCACCACCCAGGGGTCCCACCCCACTCCAGCACTCCAGGGGTCCAACCCCACCACCCAGGGGTCCTACCCCACTCCAGCACTCCAGGGGTCCAACCCCACCACCCAGGGGTCCTACCCCACTCCAGCACTCCAGGGGTCCAACCCCACCACCCAGGGGTCCTACCCCACTCCAGCACTCCAGGGGTCCAACCCCACCACCCAGGGGTCCTACCACACTCTAGCACTCCAGGGGTCCAACCACACCACCCAGGGGTCCCACCCCACTCCAGCACTCCAGGGGTCCAACCCCACCACCCAGGGGTCCTACCCCACTCCAGCACTCCAGGGGTCCAACCCCACCACCCAGGGGTCCTACCCCACTCCAGCACTCCAGGGGTCCAACCCCACCACCCAGGGGTCCTACCCCACTCCAGCACTCCAGGGGTCCAACCCCACCACCCAGGGGTCCTACCCCACTCCAGCACTCCAGGGGTCCAACCCCACCACCCAGGGGTCCTACCCCACTCCAGCACTCCAGGGGTCCAACCCCACCACCCAGGGGTCCTACCCCACTCCAGCACTCCAGGGGTCCAACCCCACCACCCAGGGGTCCTACCCCACTCCAGCACTCCAGGGGTCCAACCCCACCACCCAGGGGTCCTACCCCACTCCAGCACTCCAGGGGTCCAACCCCACCACCCAGGGGTCCTACCCCACTCCAGCACTCCAGGGGTCCAACCCCACCACCCAGGGGTCCTTCCCCACCCATTTTGATTTTGAGCGCTGTTATGTAACTTATTCATAATTAAACCTAGTGAATGCTATTCTAGACTTAGTGTATACAATAATAATAATAAAAAGAAGTTCTAAAATTACAAAGTGAAATTCTCCAGCTGAAAAAAAGAAATAGAGAAAGGTAATTTTTATTGAAAGCATCTCAGCAAAATGTTAAAAGTTTTCTTTTGGGAGATTTGGTGGTTCCATAAGGAACCTGTGCGTACGCTGTACACGTGGATGTTGACGACGTCTTAGATCGTCATGGATGGTGAGCCAAATACGGTCTTCAGGTAGACGGAGTTGGGGGAATGTCTTCTATGTTCTTGTAAGATTTTGTCTTCATATTTCCATTTGTACAGTTTAATACCGCACATATAGCACTGAACGCAATCGTTCATTCCCGTGTAGAATAACCCGCACCTGGCCAGCTCGAGAGGAGTCTGCTTAATTTGAATAGGAAATTTGTAGTAGGTATCTAAACGACTTTTAAAATACCTGTAGGAAGGATGATCGGGAATGACCATAATATCTGATCCCACTGTCCAGGAACTCCGACAGCTATCCGCATCCAAACATTTACATCCGTAGTCGACACTAGCATCGCAATCCGCGCTTAAATCTGGAGGATCCATTTTCACGTCCGATATCTGTCCATAACGTTACATCCGTTGTCTTAAAGGGGACAGTATAACGATGTTAGTATTATAAGAGGTTAACCCTAGAGCTCTACACGCATTGCCTCGTGGTACCGCTGTTAGGCCTTAAAGGTCGGCTCTACGTATAAAATCAGAACTCGTAGCCCAACCGTACGGATATAAAGTGTGACACAGCCGACCTTAAGAGGTGTTAATACGCGAAATTACCTCGCCCTCATCATTCGATATCGTCATGGCGTGGTGTCAACGAGGTTGTAAATCGTGGGACCCATATTTCTAGACTTCTCTAAAGCTTTCGACATGGTATGACACAACGGGCTAATACAAAAACTTTAAAAAAAGCAGGCCTTACAGGCCAAATAATAAACTATATCCAAGACTTCCTAACTAATCGCAAAATAACCGTTGGTATCGACCAAACGCTATCGGACCAGTGTCCCTTAGAAAATGACACACCCCAAGGTAGCATTCTAAGCCCAACACTTTTCAACGTAATGATTAATGACCTATTCGTTGGAATACCCAATAAAATACAAACTTCCAAATACGCGGAAGATGGAGCCCTCTGGGTCCGCACTAGAAGCATAAATATGGCTCAAAAATTACTGCAGAATGCATTAAATAAAATTCAAATAAGGGTAAATAAATGGGGTTTCTCGCTAAATGCTGATAAAACCACAGGGATAGTATTCAAACACAGAAATATGCATGCAAACACTCCCAACTAAAACTAAAGAAAAAATTAAAAAAACATACAATTCCAAACAGAAACCAAATTCCTTGGACTAATCTTTGATGAACACCTCACCTGGGGTGTTCACATTAAAAACCTAACAAATAGATGCACTAAAGACCTAAACACACTACGCTGCCTGACAGGTTCCAAGAAGGGGGGCCTCCAAGATGACCCTACTATCTCTTTACAAATCACTAATTAGATCCAAATAGACTATGGAGGCCAAATATACAACACCTTAAACTCCTCATTAAGCAATAAACTAAACTCAATTCAATATCAAGAACTCAAGATAATCACACGCACTCAGCATGGCACACCGAGCATATCGCTACAGGCACAAACAAGCGAAATACCCCTGGATCTACGCCGAGAACATCTAACAATAAATTACTGGGCCTCAATCCAACTAAAAGGCCAAAATCCAACAGATCCTCAAAACTAATTATAACAAGAGCCCCAGACTCCAAGCTCTAGCTCGCAAAAACCCTCAATTAACATCAATCTCTCAACGCATAATAAATTACCGAAATACACACAACCTAACTTATTTACAGTTAAACACAGTCCCAAATAACACCTTCACACCCAAACTCCGACCCCCCAAAATCGACATATCTCTCTCCACCAGACTAAATAAAGAAACTAATCCAAATACCGCTAAATCCATCACATTAGCATGCATTCACGAAAAATGTCCAAATTGGTGTCACATTTACACAGAGGGGTCCTTTGACCCGGGCTCAAAACGCACAGGATTCGGCATCCATATCAACGAACCCCAAAAAGAAACACAATCATATGGGCTCCCAAATGAACAATCAATTTTCACAGCCGATTTAATGGGGATAGTAACAGCCCTACACTGCGATCAAATAAATAGACACCACAAAACCCTAATCCTTTCAGACTCATTAAGTGGGCTCCAGGCTATAAAAAACAAAAATACAAAAAAGCGCCCAAAACTAATACAACAGATAATTAAAAGCGCCAACAATCTACGTAAACTAGGTAAAGACATAGAAATAGTTTGGATCCCTGCCCATGTTGGAGTGTTTGGCAACGAACACGTAGACAAAGCAGCCAAATCAGCACTAAAATTAGAATAAGTAAGCGTCAACCTACCAATATAAAAAAAAAAGAAATTAAAAGTATCACAAAGGAGAAAATCTTCCCAAAGTGGCAAAACAACTATCAGAAATCTGATTGCAAACTAAAACACCTGCTACAAAAGCCACTCAAAAAACAAAAATCCATAATAAAATATAAAAAAATGAGAGAGTAATATCAAAGCTACAAATAGGCCACACTAAGTTAACTCCCACCTACATCAAATTAAAAAACCTCCAACCGGTAAAGGCCTCCACTGCAACTTAAAAGAAACGCCTGAATGCGTAATACTATATTGCACACATTACCAGCAACACAGAACAACACTCCAGTCCACACTAAATTACAACAATCAAATGACACAAGCAAATTCCAAACCTACACACACACACACACACACACACACACACACACACACACACACACACACACTTTGTACAGCTGCAGACGAGTGGGATATTGTTCCTTTGTGTGGATATTCACGGATACATTCCTCGAACAAGGAAGCTGCTGTTCTATCCATTCTGAGGATAATTATCATTTGAATGCCACTGGTCAGTAACTGGGCAGGATCTGGTCAGCTTCCTGATAGAACAGCAGCTTCCTTGTTCGAGGAATGTATCCGTGAATATCCACACAAAGGAACAATATCCCACTCGTCTGCAGCTGTACAAAGAAACTTATTCGATGTCACGTGTCTCTGTAACAATCAAATATTTTAAAAGATATATATCGTTTCGGGATATTATAACCCGTGTTCGTTTCTCAACTGATCACTTGGATTGTTTCAGGTTTCACATAGGTGTCAAGTCTCAAAGGTAGGCTGAGAAAGCCCACGTGACAACTATTTTCATAACGTCCACGGTTCCTAAAAATTCCATTGAGTGATTGATAACAATGATCAATCAACGTATTATCAGTTAACCCTTTGAACAAAGTATGTTGTTTTTACATCGGCACTTCACGCCATGATATGAGTGTATTCCCTTTGTTTTAGTAAACCTAGACATGTAAACACTCACTTTTGACATATCCACTGTGCAAGATAACAGTGATTAATCCATCAACGTATTTTCTGTTAATCCTTTGATGACTACGAACGATCCGTTGATTTACAACAAAAAAGTAAATCAACTGATCATTCATCTCTTGCTGGGCTGCCACGTGCATATTACATAACACACATTTCACCTCACTTCAAACCTGGATTTAGATTGAATATTACCCCAGACACAATAAATGCCAAATGGGAACCTTTGTCAGGTAATCTAAGTGGTGCTTCCACTAATTGTACCTGTAATAAATTCATTAACTGAGCATCAAGTGAATAACGACAAATACAAAAGAGTAGGGTTTTACGAGAAAACGTGGATGACAACAAGGGAGTAGTAATCGTATTATCGACGCAATCCGAAATCTGAAAATGCTTTCACTGCATGGATACTTTTTTTAGTATTAAACTATAACAATCAGGGTATTTCCAAATGACGACATCCGATGAGCTCCGTCGTTCTTTTTGTCTGTTTGTTTGGGATGAAGAAATTTATTAACATGCGCCCTTTGTCGAAATCTTTATAGATCACAGTTAACCAATCAGTGTTTATGCAAAAATGCGTAAAACAAATATTGCCTCCAGCCTCCAAGTTTATTTAGCTGTCCTTGCTGACGGTAGCCCAGTCTCTGGTCACGCTCAGTTGCGTTGCGTATCATCCGGGTACTCACGGGGAAAAAAACAATAACAAAGGCAACAACCAGTCCGGGGAATTGCGTTAGATCAGTGCCCCTTTAACGCATTGTCGTTGCCAAGGCACTAATCAAAATACTCCCTATCATAAGGGTCGGAGGGACACGAGTTGGAGATAAACTGATAATTATCATTTGAATGACACTGGCCAGAACCTGTCCAGTTACTGATCAGATCCTGACCAGATGCTGTCCAGTTACTGACCAGATCCTATTCAGATACTGACCAGATGCAGGGAATTATGAACACCCAATTATACATCGAATGTACGAATATGTCATTATGCTTATTATCAACCGTTTAACCTATAGCCGTACGTCGTTTTAATATCCGAATAAACAACACATTAGTAGCGTATACGTTTTTTAACTCTTTTTATTCCAAAACCTAGAGTGTACGATATCATCGTTTATTGTACAATCATCGATGAAACTGTTTAAAATGCGACTCATGGAGAGAGACACCGATAATATAGAAAATACAGACAATAGTAACCGCAAACAACGCTATCGTAACATTGAAGCTTTTTACAAGAATATCTGTACGCGCGTCTACCGTATAGATATTTAAAACTATTGAATTCAGCCTACATAAGCGATGTACATAAAATCCTTCAGCGGTTTTTGATTGAGCATAATGGTGTCGTATGCCATGCAAAAGGTGTGTGTGTGTGTGTGTGTGTGTGTGTGTGTGTGTGTGTTTATAGGTTTGGAATTTGCTTGTGTCATTTGATTGTTGTAATTTAATGTGGACTGGAGTGTTGTTCTGTGTTGCTGGTAATG